CAGCCTCACGGGCTGACTGGCAGTTATCAGAAAAATCAGCGGCATATGACCATCAGCACCAGTGCTCAGAATTGGAACCAGGGACATGCACTTGTCTCCCTTTCCTCATGTAAGCAATTCCAGTTCCATGTGTCTTACAGCCTTCCAAAGAAAAGGAAATAAAGGCAGTTAGTGAGACTAGCTAGTATTAGGAAAACGTTTTTCTGTCTTGAACTTACATTTTGTAAATGGAGTTCGTTGTTTTTAATGTCTAGTGGAAGTAACCAACATAGAAATTTCTTTCACAGTTTTGGCAGAGAGCCAAGTGATACAGTGATGGAAATGTCATTTTAGGAAGGCAAAGTGCTCAAGATAATGCATCAGCACTGGCAGGTTACTTTGTCTAATGTTATCAACATTTCCTGAAGGTTCTTGGTACCTAGGGCATCTAGCATGAATTAATTGTAGTATCTCTGTCCCAGCAGGTTGCACACTGTCATACTTTTCTCCTTTACCACAAATTGTATGCAATGCCTTCAGCTTTTTAAAATAATAGAGAGAAATCCTTAAAAATGGGGCAGGGGGTAAAAGCAGATTCTTTCCTTCTCAGTTTAAGTAAGGTATATCGGAATGAAAGTATTTCCAAGGTAGCGGATTAGTCATTGGCAGCCTGCAGGAAAACGATGATACAATTATACTAAGCATGATCTCTCATATCATTATGCATGCCTTGAAACGTCATTTATTTGAGAATGAGAAGTGATGCTGGAATCTTTAAAATTCAGAGCCCACACACAAGCCAAAAGTAACTCTTCTACTCTCTGGCCCCTACATCACTCCTTTTTGGGTAATGGCAATAACGCGGAGACATACTTTCAAATGCTCTCTTCATTCATCCAGTGGGTTCTAAGAAAGAGAGGTATCCATTAATTGCATGTTATCCAAGAACTAAAGATTAAACAGTGATTAAAGTTTTCATAAGAAGTTATTAGAAGTGCCATGTCTTTGTGTTTGTGGAGGATGACGGGAAAAAAAAGAGTTAAAAACTGTGTGGCTAAGCCTGCAAACTGTGGAAAGATAGTGAGGACAGTCAGGAAGGGAAAGA